TGCTGAGATAGGGCGTTTTTTAATCGGCTGCTGAGATAGGGCGATTTTGAAACGGGTACTATTGGAGATCAATTAGTCTCGACTCATCCCTTACGGGTATAATTGGAGATCAATTAGTCCCCGACTCATCTCTAACACGTACTATTAACGATTTAATGATATGTACGCACTTAGTAAACGAAATTTCATGTGCGGCGATGGCACACAGAGAGAGTATTCGCCAAACAAAACTGAGCACCCCGGTTCGAATCTCAGCTGGCGCAAATTTTTATTTTTATTTTTTAAAAGTGCATAGTCGCTTTTTATACCCGTTCGGGTATAAAGGTGAACAATTAGTCTCTTCATAGGACATGCTCGAACAAAAGCGATCAGTTCATTCCATATAAAGAGATCAAAAGTGGTATTAGTCGCATGCTCCTTTGCGATTGCTCCCGGAGTCATCCCGGATTAGTCCCATTTTTTGCAGGGCATACCTATGTATATATGTATGTATGCCTAGTACCATACATACATTATACTAAACCAGTATTCCAAAACTGAGACAGAAACAGCTCTTAGAAATAGATATGTATGTAGTATATTGCCTCTGAATGAGTATCTACATACCTGCGTGTTTGAATTTTGGCAATTACTACATAAATGTTATCAAAATATCAGTATGACTTCAATGACACACACTAGCCACTGAGAAAACACATAAATGGAACTTGCTGTGCACATTAGTTAAAACATATTTCTCAATTATGCACAGCTAAACAGTGCAATTCAATTTAACTCAAAGTAGATGCAAAGTCAAAGGTTGCTTACTGTCATTCCTGGAAACTCAATTCTCAGGGGGCCATGGAATCTTAAGTTGAATTATATGAGCGGTCTCTATGGGGCAAATATGTATGCATAAACAAATATAGATATAATCTTTGGCGTAGAGTTGGCTGCACGTGCAGTTTCATAAGTGAATGTTAGCATAATTAGCAATTATAATTGCATTCAACAACATAGTACTTGATCAAAGTACCAAATGCAGATTCATTAAGGCAATATTTCAATGATGATCGAAAAGAGAAGTATTTCCGCCCAGATCACTTGCACATCTCAGAGGTATTTTATTGGAAGTTGCAGGATACTCAAAATTTTTTGACATCGTTTACAAAGGATTAAGGACAGTAATTAGGCAATCATCCCGAGCCACACCAAAAACGACGGTTAGTAGGACGAACGTGTTTGGGCTTTGAGAGCTTGCTCTCCTTCGATGTGAAGACAACCGTCATTTTTAATAAAGAATATAGCCGCAACAGTGAATGAAGCTACAGACCTCTCAAAACATCGCTCTCTGAACAGTAAAGGGATGCCTTCTGACGTCGCCTGAACACCAGCAGCATACGGAGGCCGCAATGTCAAGAACATAACATTATGCATGGCAAGCAATTTCTGCGCGGCTGCTACCGCTGGGAACACCCGAACAGACGCTGAAAGCAGAATCTCCTCCTAGACATATCCAAGAGCTCACAGACGATATCCAGACAGGTTATAACCGATAGGGAATCACCGTCTTAATCAACTCGCGTCCAGTGAATTTCTTCATCAGAACTCGGCACCAGCTGCCGCAGTTAAAGAGGAAACTCTTTAGCTATTTAGAGAACCCTCGTAACTTAAGCGCAACAAAGCCATGGATAGATGGATAGAAAACACTGCGACCAGTAGGTCCATTGTGCCCACACCTCATCGCAGTACCTCACCAACCCTAGATACTCTAGAAATTTCAAAATTCATCCCGGAGATAGAGAGTATACAAGGACCTCAATTGGCCATAAATTCCCTAAGCTTTTTACACAAGTGCCCTCTTGTCGTGCAGTGGCCCGTAAAAATAACTGTAATAATCCTTAGTTTTTTCCAAGGGAGGCCTATGTATATACGGTATACTGTATTTTTTTTTAGATTGTACCCTACTTGTAAGCTTTGGGTTGACGAAGTCCCAAAGTATTGCGCCAATGCAGTTCCCTTAGCTGTATCCTTCCTGAGCGCTTCCTTTATCGTGTTGAGCCCTATTGAAAGAAAGGGCTCCAGTCCTATCGGGATCGAGGCAGCAGCCAGTCTGGACAGATGGTCCGCTTCCTCATTGGAGGATTGTCGATTCATGATTAATGCTTTTAAAATTCCAAAAACCGGAACGGCAAAAATAGAAGGAACTCAAATTCTTTTGACGTTGATGTTGATGTTAAATAAAAAAGAAAAAGGCAGAAAGGTAATCTTTGTGAGAATTTCGCTTATCATCGATAGCACTCTGTGTGAAGCCAGCCAACTGCCTATTTTATTGCGACCTCCTTCTCTAAAAACATCCTGTCAACATCCTAACAAAACTAGAGGCTGCCACTCGCCATTTCCAGAAGGGGGGCTGCGTGAAGATTTTAGTCCAATCAGATCCCACCTTGGTATGCACGGATTCATTTACACTGGTATGAATTCGAAGTTCCCAAAGCTTATCGAGTGCTGGTGCGCCTAAATGAAGAAAAAGGCAGTACTTATCAGCCTGCTGACGGAGCTGGCTGCAGCAGTCTTACCCGCAATGCCTACTGGTACAAAGAAAAGCATCTATGTAACTTCTTTACTTATGTAGACTTTTCAGCAAAACCCGCTTAATTTTTATGATACTCGTTGTTTTTTTGGTTGTGATCGCCGACATTTGTGTCACTGAACATTCGCCTCTACTGTAAGGCTGGAACATTAATCTTTATGTGCTCGGTAGTCTACATTCGTAGCATTTTTGCCAAAAAATTTGAATAAAAAAAATATTTCTACTGCCTTTCATTAGCTTCCAGAAAATCAATGTACTTACGAAACTAGGAGGCCAAATATAGTAAAACTGCTACATGTTTTCAAAAGGACTTTGAAATTTGAGGATCTGATAAAAGAGAATATTCCGTAAAATTGAAAAACATTAAACTTTTTGTTGTACAAGGACGAATAGAGGTATTAAAATTGTAATTAGCAATTAGCAGGGACCGAACATAAAAGGTATTGATGAAAACTGTCATGGAAAAATTCACTAGGAAGGAAATGTTCTACAACTAAGTGATACATTCCAAACGATTTCTTTTTTCACCGAGACTCAAATGTGAAAATAAATTTGTATTTGCATTTTTTATGCAAAATTAAAAAAAAAATAACAATTGTTTTTGATTGTTATATTATATGTCGTAGATAACAGTTATCGCGGGCTTTTATTTATACAAGTCATCAATAAAAATCAGTAGTGACTTTTACTTTTAAAAATCATCAATATAAATCAGTCACCGACTTTTATTTTTAAAATCATTCGTATAAAAGTCATTCATATTTTTCGAAGTTAAAAAGTTGTTTTCAAATAAAAGTTTACTACGGCTTATACAAATGACTTTTAAAAGTATGGTTTAAAAAATAAAGGTCAGTGACTGATTTTGATTTATGACTTTTATAAATAAAAGGCTTCGATAACCATTATCTAAGGCATGTAATTTAAAAATAAAAAATAACTGTTATCTGCAGAATATTTAGATAAAAATCAAAAATAATTGATAGTTTGGATTTATTAAATAAAAGTCAGAAATAACGGTTATTTAAGGAGCAAATTAAATAAAAGTCAAAACATCATTTTTAAAGCGCGAGTTTTTTAATAAAATTTGTAACTGTTACGGTTCCTGGTAATTAGTTTAACATTGTTAGTTTAGGAAATTGTTTAAAAGGACATTTTTGATACCTCTTTGTCCTAGTTCACCAAAAAAATTTAATGTTTTAAATTCTACAAAATTTTCCGTTTACTTGATATCCATAGTGTTGTTCTGCATAGTACTGAATTTTTTAAATAATTTTATAATTTTAAGTTGTTTCAACGCTGGAGTAAACTTTGTTGACTGTAGTCAGGGGCCCAATATTACCGGAGTGTCAGTTATAGTGGAGCCGCTTAGTTGCAGCACACTTTCCGGCGCAAGAGAGCGCTCAGAGATCACAGAAGAAGAGGTGATGAGCAGATTTGTGTGGATCACTAAGAATAAAAGTAGAAAGAAAATATCTTTATAAATATATGATAATATTTTCCATGCCTTCATCCGACAGCGTGGTCTTTTCTCACAGAAAATAAAGACTCTAATTTTCTGCTGAAGTCGAGTAAACCGTCTGGTCAGGAATCAGTCTATAAGTGCGTAGCCCTCTTTGTATGCTTGACATACAGAATGAGATCTGGAGGACTTTGTATCTCACCGGACCGGAAAACTAACTAGAGACTAAATGGACTATTCAGAATGTACGATGTGTCAATTCGGACACCTAAAACGTAAATGGTTAACAATTATCGCTATCTGTGTAAAAGCACTTTGACATCAAACAAGCACTAGAAAGTTGCTCACAGAAGCAAAATACTGAAAATCTCGCTGGTTACCTCTTACTTACTCCAAAATAATAATAATAATAATAGATTGGCGCTTACACATATGTTAGTGTTTGGCCGAGCTTCTCCTCTGATTTGTGGCGTGCGCCTTGATGTTGTCACACAAAGCGGAGGGACCTACAGTTTTACGCCGACTCCGAACGGCGATTGTATTTTTAAGAGAAGCTGTTTTTCATGGCAGAAATACACTCGGAGGTTTGCCATTGCCTGCCGACGGACGACCGCTGTTAAGAAGAAACCTTTTTTCTATATTTTTGCGATGTTGCTTTGACCAGGGTTTGAACCCAGGCGTTGCGGAGTGGAAGCGCGCACTGTTTACCACTACACCACAGCGGCCGACGACCAAAAGGTTAACCATTATTTTGTAATTGAAAATCAAGTACCAAGGGGAACTCATGCACTCTCAGATAGCATTACAACTTCAGGTGTTAAAAAAAGACTAGCCTAATTTTGCAATAAAAACACGTTCAACAATTTTTCCTACCAAAAGTTAATTAGACAAAAAATATGAATTTTTAATAAATTAAGTCACACTTGCCCATTTAAGATATTTAATAGAAATTATGAAAATCACTAAAAGATGTCAAATTACGTCGCTGCCCCCTTAATCTCAGAAACAGATATACTTATTATGTAAGCATTATTGAAAATAAATTCATTTTCAATTTGACTAAAATGTAATCTAAATAAAAGGTTTTGTTATTACAATCTTTTTTTCTTTCTGTGGTAGTTCCCTCATTTCTAATTTCTTTTCTTTATTCCTTTTTTTTTTGCATTTTAACAGGCCACAAAAGCACGTTTGGCATGGTTCACTACCCAACGGTGAGCGTTCAATTGACACATATTGTGACGCCTGGCATTCGGGCTCCAGAGATAAGTTCGGTTATGCCAGTAATTTGCTGGGGAACAAATTGCTCGACCAGGAGCGCCAAACTTGCGATAGCAAATTAATTGTGCTGTGCGTGGAGGCGTTGTCGCAGGATAGAAGGCGAAAACGCGATATCAGCGACAGGTAAGCTATAAATACGCACATGCATATAAACTATAAACGAGTGCATGTGCATAAGGGTGATCCAAAATTGCATGTGGGGAAGAGTACAGTCGGAGTTTTAATACTCTCGCCGCCTAGAATGGTTCAATATCGAAACAAATTTACCACTTGTTTTTTTCTTAATCAAAAAAATTATTATAGGTCGCAAAAAGCGCTCAAATTGCATTTTTTCTTGGGTTTTGGGGGACCCATAAAAAATCGTTATTATTAAAAAGATTTTAAATAAACAATTGGGTATTAATTTTCGAAATCTCTTGAAGAAAAATAAGGTTTGCCGATTGAAAAATATTTGTTTTAAAGTATACTACACAGTTTCTAGGAAAATTGTTTTTTTTCCCCCCAAATGAAATACATTGAAAACTTTGAGCGCTTTGAGCGACCTCTAAATATTTTTTTGATTAGAAAAAAAACAACAAGGGTCTATTTTTCGATATAGAACAATCCTAGGGGTGCGCGCATTCAAGTTCCGACTTTACTTTTTCTGGACCACCCTAACGTGCATACACACCTTTAAACGGGATTTAGAATTTGATGCTCCATGGGGAGTGCGAAAAACGAAATGAAATTGCGTTGTGGTATTAATGAATGCAAATCACCAAAATGACAATGGCATACAATCAACACAACGCATTGGCGCTCAGGCGAGAGCAAATGTATGGAATTATATATATGTATGTGTGTGTATGAATGTTAAATGCATGTGTGGGTTACCTCATAATGAATTGAAAATATTTGACTGTGCAAATATACCGAATTCTATTGAATACACATTTGTCCACAAGTTCATCAGGTCATACATCCCGCGCCATGTACACTCTTACTTGTTCATTTTTCATACAAAAAAATCCTTGCGCATTTCCATTTGACCACTCATTCCCAATTATTTATCCATCGATTTTCTTCATTAGTAGCTAAATTTTTTTGTAAGAGAACAGGCTCTAACACAAATAAAAAATTTGCATAGAAATTGTTATTTTTCAATTTTTTTCCCTGCTAAATTTTGAACTTTCTAATCAAACAAAAAAATAAATAAATAAAGACTAAAAAATCTGGAATGATTAATTAATTTCTCAGAAACTATCAGGCTTATCGAAAAGTGATGTATATGGGGCGTTGATGGATAAACATAAATAATAAATAAATCTGAAATTTGAGATTGATTAATACATTTTTAAAAACATTCCAGGAAAAAAACAAAAACAAATCGATTTAATAGTTTTCCAAATATCTCGAGAACGGGGCGAGGAAAAATTTTGAAAAAAATCACGCATACACACATCAAAATTATCTATGAAAATAAATATTTTTTACTTTTTTTTTAAATTTTTCACATACAAAGTTTTTGATAAAAAAAAATTAGATTCTGAAAATATGCCATCTCAAAAAAAAAATTTTTAAAATCAAGGTGGTAGCTCTGAATATTGCGCAAATTATAAGTATAGAATGGAACGCCCCATATACGTCGTATTAAGATTATTGAATTGCAATTGATTAAGTGGAACCACCTGTTTAGCTGAATAACAGTAAAATGCAAATATCTCAAAAACTTGGACAGTGGCATCCATGGAACAAAAATAGTATTTATACAGAAATAAAAAAGTACCGAATCGAAAAGATCATAAATTTTTTGGATATATAATTAATAGGGTGTTGCAATTTACAACTTAATACATCCTTATTTATAACCTCTTTGTAAATTGTCTTTCCAGCGAACCTGTGTTCCATACGGCGGAAGCATATGCGCGCCACCTCAAAGAGGTGTTAACTTGAAATTCCGACTATCGCGCACATGTGCCACGAAAGCGTGCCGGACGTGGGCAATTGTTGTGGCTACAATCAGTACATCATCAACATCAACCAGTCAGAACTAAGCAACTTCATCAGCAACAAAAACAATAAAAAATAAAAAATATTTTAAATGCGAATTGTAAATCGAAAGGCGATGCCAAAATTCAAACACTTTGATTATTTCCTTTTTTATTCAAATTTGTGAAAAAGAGAGAAACTAACTACTACTTAATTACGAACGAGTATTTTTTCCACGATTTTGTTCATTTTACTCCGACAAACTGTGAAAATATTTATGCAAAATACATACATACATACAAACATACATAGCTAATTGGAACACAACTACGTAACTAGTAAAGCAAAGATACATACATACGTATGTAACTAAATTCCCATCTATATGTGAGATTTTTTCATTGCATGTACTATACACATACATACATACTCTCGTGCATACATAGGAAGGTACTATTTATATGTAGTATAGCTATATTTAATGCATATGTGCATGTAGTTAATATATTTATTTTTGTTCTGTACTGTACTACTACATATACATATACATATACATATATGTATGTAAGTTAGTAATGTAAGTGTAAACGAAAATGAAATTGT